TCCTGCACCTTCTCAGCAGGATAAAAATGTGCACCTGAGCATGGTGCCACCACCACCCAGATGCACCCACAACCCAGCACCATCAGAGCCCATGAAATCAGCTTGGGTTATCATACCACTCTGAAGAAACACTTTAAGGACTCCACTGAAATCTTTCCATTTTATTTAGATAAAAATCCTTTACAATTCAGAGAACTAAAGAGTAACAATTGTTTTTTTAATCAGTAATATGGACATTTATAACTGTGCTCAAAAGAAAAGCCTAGCTTGTGTACTCCTTTGGGTAAATATTTTAATGATAAGCTTTATTAAAGAAGGAATTCTGTAATTAAATCATTTGCTCTTCACCATCATATGCACAAGTGAGATGTGAATAAAGGGCAGAAGCTCAAGATGATTTTGACTTGCAAGGCATAATTCTTCAGACCTGCATGAGGGAAAGGAGATTGACATCAGTCACTCTGTTCACACCTTCAACTGTAATTATTTGGGGGAGGGGGAAAGCATTTTCCACAAGGGAACTCCAACTACAGAGTCAGACACTCCAGACTCTAGCAAGGTCACCAATGTCCCACCTTCAATCAAGCTTGGCATCCCTCACCATCAGTGACCTTCACACCAACATCCCACCAAAGCCACTGCATGCCACACTGCCACATGGGCACAGCACACCTCCAACCCTGCCCTGGGGCCAGGTTTCCATCCCCACTGCCCAAAAGCAAGTGACAAACCAGAAGAGTGGTTGTATGTAATTCTTCAGAGCTCTGTTACTTAGAAATGTCTGTATGTATCAAATCACAGGTCCCTTTACCTCAGCATCCTGTCTCAAGCAGCAGTTAGAAGCAAACACTTAAGCACTTACAGCATCCCTTCTAAATATCCTTCCAATCCAACCATTTTTGGCTCTAGGGGGATCTCTTGAGCCTTTCCCCAGCCCCCAATATCACACCTCAGCTTTTCTGCTACAAATTAAGAACCTTTTTTCTTCTGTTGAACCCCACTAGAAAGATGGTCAACTGACCTCCATTTTCTCTTGTCCCTGGAAGCCTAACAACCCTCCTAGCCTTTGCTGCTCTACAGCAAGGAAGGGCTGGAGAGCTTTAGAGGGAGAGCAGTGTAAGGCAGTGACAAGTAAAGGACTCTGATCCATCTACAGCTTCGCAAGAAGAAATGCCCAAGGCAGTTTTTCCAATTTGCAAAGTTTGACTCATGATTCTGTCTGTCTAAAAGCCATCAATAACATTTTCTGGTCCAACGTGGAGGGCATTTCAAGTGAGGTCTTGCCAAGGCTTGTACTGGGCACAGTTAATAATTATCCAGCCTCTACCGGGGTACATAACTAAGGCATTTCAACCATCATTGCAACTATGTCAGCTAGGCCATGTATCTTTAGTTTTCTTTTCCCTTTCAAGGGTTAAACTAGTATTTACCCAATTGCTAAACCCAGATCAGTTATCCCCAGACAGTTTGAAGAACCCAAAGCACTCGGACTGTGAGACACCAGTGAACCAAGACTGCTTCTGGTCTGGGAGCAAGGTACTGATATGTGCCTCATAAATCCTGCGTTACCGAGCCGACATGCTGCCTGCCGCAGGGTTAACCAGCCTGCCTCCCCCCAAGTCATGGGGATTTCCACATATGGCAACTTCCTCCTCACCAGACAGAAGACAGCACCACAGGGTCTGGAGAAGCACTAGAGGACACATGACAACTCTGAACGGTATCTGGCAGACACACCAAAGACATGTGGGGAAGTTTTGCTCCAAGGGGCTCCTTTCTTTTGAGCAAAGGAGACTCCTATAGACAAGGTATAGCTGAGAACTAGCCAAAGCAGTGGCTAAAAAGGGTGTGGGAAAAGCCCCACTCCCAACCAGTGGCAACACAATAGATATGGGGTGGTTTTTCAGTGGTTGCTTTTGTTCAACTCTGTAAGCTACAGACTGTCCCCCACAGAAAGCAGTCCATGTTCCCCTTACCATCACGGCATGGAACATCAGCATAACTCACCATGATTATTCCAGACACAGCTTAGAAGTCTTCCTCTGCAAGAAAGAAGGGGAGAGCGTTAGGCTTTGGGGCAAACAGCACCCCCTCTCACCCACCACCACAAGCCCATCCCTGCTGGAAACAGCCCCAGTGCAGTAACCCAGAGAGCTACCCTTGTTTGGCTGTCTCCTTGCTGCAGCAGGCTGGGTTACCACAATCAGTCCCCACTGCTATGTCCTTCTTTATATCCACCAAATATAAAGTCAGAAATCACTGCATGACCCATCTCTTTCCAGGCAAGTTCACCTAGAAAGAGGTCAGAGTGCTCCACTAAGAGTCAGCAGACACAGCATAACCAAACACCTACAGATAATACCAAGGCATGTCTTTTCCGCTACTAACAAACTCTCTCACAGATACATATACACAGCCTTTTCAGCAGCCCAGCTAAAACCAATTTTTCATCTACAGCACAAGACCTTAAAATCCAACCCATTATAGCACCATGTTTCCTGAGAAGGGAAACAGAGACACTGGGCTATAAATTAACAAGCTCCAGCTTCTGCACATGAACAGCAGCAGTTTGAAAGCTCGAAGAGGAAGGCACACAATACCCCATCGGAATAACTGCGGCTCTCTGAAGGCAGAATGGGCCACCCTGCAGACATAGATGTCTCCCTTCTTGGGGGTGAACGGTGCATACACCAGGCGCTGGAAATACCACTTGTCATTGAAGGACATGTCCGTGTACTGCACGTTGCTCATGGGCTCCCCGTTCTTGAGAAGGGTGATATCAATCTTCGGAGGGTGGAAACCACTCACGAAGCAGTTGAGGGTGTTTTCCTCTCCATATGCGGCATGTTTGCGGGAGTACACATCCACCTTCGGTGCCTCTGGAGAGGGGAGTAAGAGGGTAGTGAGAAGCAGGGCTGCAGCAGGCATGGCGTCAGAGAAG